TTACCCTTCTTTCACTATTATTTACTTTAATTCGTAATAATACTAATAAATTAATATTATGTACTACCAATTAAATAAATAACCCACAAATTGCACAATTTTCAAAATTCCACAAAACACCGAAAATCACCGAAAAATGAATATTCTCAATTAAATAAATTAATTAAAATATTCCAATTAAAAATTGCGGTGTTACACTTGTGCCTTGTGGTTACGAGAGGCAATTGTCGGAGATTCATACAGGACGCACAAGATTAGCTTGTTGTGATCAATGTTTCACCTCTCATGAAGCTGAATAGCCAAAGGGGTACATTTCTTGACTATTTGAAGGGAGTTGGAGCAAAAAAAGTAGTGAGATGGTCAATAGGTAAGGAAAGCATGTGTTCCTGAGCGCTCACATTGTTAGTCAAGGCATAATGGTCTTTAATATAATGTTATAACTAGGGCGAGAAAAGGTGGAATTAGGTTTATTCTTGTTTATCAGGATGGGGTCAAAGGTTTCCCCAGTTGGTTGAATGATAACTATTGTTTTCCATATCAAATATTATGGGAGTGATCATTCCACATGGTAAGTGAAATATATCGATTGAAGATTCCCAAAAGAAGATAGCAGCAACCGACATGTGAGAGTTATACCTTGGGCCAACTCTTGAGAGCTATATGAAGTCAAATATACCCTGATCTTTCCCATTTTTTCCTTCTTTTGTTGAACCCTATCCAGCCACTTGACATAGGGAGCATTGTTGATCGAAGAAGATGAACGAAGCGCACGGTTCCTTATAAAGATGAGATCAAAAGACGCATCCTTAAACACCAGGGGTTCACACGATGAAAAACTAGAGCAGAAATTTTCTAAGTTATTGGGATTCTTGATTAGTCTAGGTAGAGGACGCATGAAAGCATGAGTAGTACCTACACGAGAATGGGGGATTAATACTTGAGAATAGGTGCCACCGTCCTTGAGAATAGGGTTTGGGATTTTAGCAGCAAAAGGAACTTGTGGGGAACACTTAGGAAGAAAATTGGAAATCATTGTTGATTCTTGAGAGATTAAGAAAAAAAGGAGTTTCCTTCAGAAAAACGAAAGCAGAAATTGCAAGGAAATCATAAAAATTCTAGATTTATGAGGAAGAAGATGACAAAAAAGGGAAAGAAAATGTTGAATATATATATATATATATATATATATATATATATATATATATATATATATATATATATATATATATATATATATATATATATATATATATATATATATATATATATATATATATATATATATATATATATATATATATATATATATATATATATATATATATATATATATATATCCACAAAGAGAAAAAAAAACTTTTTAGTTTCCCTTTAAAAAATTGGACAAGTGATGATTCGAAATAGACATGTGGCATTTAAATTTCTTGGAAAAGTTAAATTAAATGATTCCTATTCATATCATTTAATTTCATGGCCTATAATTGTCATATGAAATCAGAATGATGATGATGATAATCTGCACGCACATTCTTGACATGATAGTTTGGTGAAAAGTGGTCATGAAGATTATGACATGTGTATACTATCTTGAACAGTGTCAAGTAGTTACTTAAAATGTCACATTTCTTCCATCTAGTTCTTATGATTGAAAGTGGCATTTTTGGGGGGCATATGTTAGTCTTCAAATTTTAGCTGAAGAAATTCAACGAAGGAGACGTTGGAAATTGCTAAGTGTCAAGAGCTTCATATATAACTTCGACATATTAACCATGTCGACTAAAGTTGGTTTGACCACTTTGTCAATTAGTATGGGGAATAGCCCACGTAGCATGGTTTGGAATAGTCTCAAGAATAGATCCACTAGATTATGATCACTCTCTCTTTAAAACATGTCCAAATCTCAGAAAGGGGAACATGAAGCAGCTCCTTGACAAGTGTCGAGTTCGACACATCCACCGGATGTCAGAGACTTAGAATATTCTTAAGTCCATATACTAGGTGTTGTGAAGATGTTTTAACAATATTGTATGCATCAACCAAAGACTTCCGACAAAGGCAATGAAGAGGTTTAAGAGCAACTATTAGCATAGTGGGTAGCTTTTAGCAGTTTCAACATGGGAGAACGCGTGGAAGCAAGTTAGAGTATTGAAACCCATGTAATTGGATACGTGTCAAATCCAGTGGAAATAGTCATTGTCGACGGTTATCATTGTATTAGTGTATATAGTCAATCTCATTGTTCGGATCAGGGTCACAAATTTCATATATTCTCTATAGAACTAAAGTACCCAAGTTACAGAGAGAAACACTTTGTGAGATAATGTATGATTCAGCGTCCATTCTTTAATTTCGTCAAGTATTTTTTAATTAAAGCATTGCTATTTTAATGACTATTGTCACGCTTTTTGTTTATTATCTTTATCCAAAGCTTATTATTTTGAGATTTTAGATTCAGTTCATCAACCTTCAAACATTTTAAGATTCAACCACCCACTTTTTGTTGCACATTTTTGCACAAATTGTCCTTGAGATTTTTTTCAAGTTTAATCTCTTAAGTGAACCAAATTCGTGATTGTTTACTAAAAAACCAGTAAACACCAACATAAAACAAATATTGCACCAACATTTCAAAATAAAAGTTCTTGGCACTATAAAATATTTCTTAAGACTTCAAGTGGCCATATCAAGTAAGGGCATTCACTTTTGTCAAAGGAAATATGTCCCTGACATTCTTTCAAACTCAGACCTAATTGGGTGCAAGCCTGCTTCAACCCATATGGCTAGAGGCACGAGACATACACAATATGAAGGCGAACCTTTAAAGAATCCCGCATCATATTGAAGACTAGTCAGCCAACTGATTTACCTCCTAGACATTAGGCCTGACATTACTTATGTTGTTCAAGGTCTCTAACATCTAATGCTGCTATTCGGGTTCTTTGCTACCTCAAACTTTCTCCAGCTTAAGGCATTTTCTTCTCTTCTTCATCTCCTCTACAACTCAAAGCATTTTATGATTATTATTAGGCCACCTTCTGGAACACTTGAAGATTTATCAGTGGATTTTGCATTTACTTAGAGGGTTCATTAGTTTCCTAGAAATCAAAGAAACAACCAAGTATTTCTAGAAGTTCACAAAAGCAGAGTATCACACAATGGCTTTCTCCGTGTATGAGCTTCAATGGCTCACCAACATCTTGCATGATCTACCCATCCCTCTAATTCAACCTGCCTTACTATATTGTGTTAGTGTTTTTGCATGACACACCGCAACCAACTCATAATTCCATGAACGCACCAAACACATCGATTTGGACTGCCACTTGGTGTGTGAAAAACTTTAACAATGTTTGTTTCCTCACTTGCCAGTCCCTTCCTCAAAATAGGTAGTAGACTTCTTCATTAAGCCTTTGGACCTTCAGTTCTTCAACCGCAATCTGCTTAAACTTGGCATGCAGACCATCTCCCTCAAGCTTATGGTATTAGACGATAAATAGTTCTATTTATTAGTGTTATTTAATTAGATATATTTTCCACTATTTTAGGAGAGTTTGTTACTAGACTCAGGTATATAAATATACCATATACTCATTTGTATTTTTAATCAAAGCTTTAATAAAGTTAAGCCAAAATGACTAGTTTTATCGACATTTGCAATATTTCCAACAAGTTACAAGGCGACATGTAATAGTTGTTGGAGGAGTTTTTCACCCAGGAGCATTGAATATTATGAGACTTTCTTTCTAGAGCAACACCTTTGTGAGAGACACAATACATGTTCACTGAAAACCTTAAGGTGATAGGTGGGTGGACTCTCTCACTTATAAATGTTCAAGTCTCCACATTTTCAACCAATGTGTGACTATTACTCATATTACTCACACTTGCTACATTCTCAACACTCCTCTTCAAGTGAAAGCTCTTCTTACTTCCACAAACTCTTGTATCGCACGAAACGTTTCTTACTCACCACATTCGTGGTGCCGTTGACACTCTTCAACGAAACGTTTCTTACTCACCACATTTGTGGTGTCGTTGACTTTCGATACATGTAAGTCGGTCCATTTCTTAAACCAAAGGCTCTGATATCATGTGTTGGGAGAGTTTTTCACTATGGGACATTGAACATTGTAAGACTTCCTTTCTAGAGCAATACCTTTGTAAGAGAGACATCACATGTTCACCCAAAACCTTAAGGTGATAGGTGGGTGGACTCTCACACTTATAAATGCTCAAATCTCCACATTTCCAACCAATATGGCACTATTACACATAATACTCACACTCATTACATTCTAAACAATAATATGTTTGGAAAGTGTATTTCCAAATTTATTTCGAAAATATGTTTTTGGACTTTTTTTTTTTGCAAAACGAGGGTGACTCATTTACATATAAATTTAGTGTAAATGAGTATAAGATGAATATGAAAATACATTTCCGAATTAAATTTTAGAGTAAAAATGAAGTGAGACTTACTTTAGAACATGTTTTGATGTGAAAAAGATGTGTCTAAAAATGCACTTCCTAAATATAAGGAGCATTTTCGAATCTTCATATGATGTTTTTCCACCTCTTCGGGTGGGATTAAAAATCCCCTAAATATAATTTTCAACTGAGCAAGTTTTTAAAATGTTTGACATGAAAACTTTTGGAGAACTTTTCTTTAATAATGCTTGCTGTAAACAACTTAATAATATTTGGAAAGTGAGCAATAAATTGTCTATCTCTATAACTGATTCATCTATTTGTCAGAACTTTTCTTTTATAATACTTGCTGTAAACAACTTTATAATATTTGGAAAGTGAGCAATAAATTGTCTATCTCTATAACTGATCCATCCATTTGTCAAATGGTAACCCCGATGATTGTCCAGAAACGCATATAAACATATCTACAAAGGAAGTAAGAACAGAATAGAACTATGGTGGCAAAAATAAGCACCTTGATTAAAATCTAAATGTTGTCATAATCACCAAAATTATACATGAATCAAGCTTCATTGTGATCCTTGGGTGAGTCTATGCATCTCACTTTGGTTAGCAAGAGTTTCAATGAGAAGAGGTGGAGCATACTGTGCTGTCCCTTGGTGTTCTTCAGAATCTTGGCAAAATGAGAGAACAATGGTATCAATTGACATCTCCACCACTGCAAAAAATAGAGTTGCAACAGTATATCCAAGAGCCCAGCATACCTGCATTATATCATACCAAACATAAAGTAAGGTTCTGACAGTTTTAAAATTCACTCGTGATGTTGAGTGAGTGATTTCATCATACTTGAGAACTTGATGTCAACTATACAATGAACTTGATGTAAGTTTTGTCCTTATGTAGATAGTTTGTATTAGAGCTCTAAGTATTAAATGTATATATAATCTTGTCTTTTATTTGTAAGTACATAATGAAATATAATTTATACAACTTTTCTTGTGACACATCTGGTTCTCCATCAGAGCTTCCCCTGTGCACATAGTCACCTCCAAAATCGTTGCCTTGCCATCATCAGCATCAGCCAGCCCACTAAATTGTGCCTTGACAAAACTGTCACATGGTGTCACAAGTCAAAACCTCCTATGACCCCTAAACCCTAATTAGCTTTGGGCTTGAGCCACACAACTCAACTTGGATTATATCTAATATCTCAACATACCCCCTTATAATCCAAATTGTCGAAACACACTAATCATTGTCGATCTAAACTATTCCCAATTTCTTTCTCAACGTTATAAACCTGTCGATCTTTAATCCTTTGGTAAAAATGTTGGTCAATTGTGCTTCATTTAAGCAATGTCTTACTTCAAGTACACCTCTATTCACCTTCTCACTTGAGAAGTGAAATCTAACTTCGATGTGCTTATTTCTTCCATGCAAAATTGAATTTTTCGCCAGATTTATGGCTGACTTGTTTTCGATCTGCAGTACCAGAGGTTTCTTCACTTCGACCTCCATTTCTTCAAGGACATATCTGATTCAAATTGCTTGACACGCATCATAGGGTCATGTTATATTCCGCCTCACACGATAACAATGTCATCACAGATCGATTTCTCGAGCACCAAGAGATTGGAACACGAAATACTTGAAAGAAATATCCAGTAGTGTTTTTTCGATCTTTCTTATCTTCACCCCAATCAGCATCTGAATAACAAGTAACCATGGCTTCTTTGCTTGCAGCGTCTCGTCGAAATAAAATTCCATAGTTTGTCGATCCTTTTAAGTATCTCAGGATTCTTCTTGCAGCCTTCATGTGCGACACCCTTGGTTCACTCATATATCTGCTCACTAATCCGACTAAAAAATATATATCAGGTCGATTGTTGCACACATATCTCAAAGATCCGACAATTTATTTGGACAAAGTTGCATCGGTTTTGTCTTCCTCTCCATGCTTCTCCAACTTCAAATTTGATTCGATAGACAAAGAGGCAGGAGTCGAATCATCCATCCTAAATCTCTTGAGTATCTCCTTGACACCAGAGTTGAAAGGAGACACGAGTATGTTGTATTGGCTGGTTATATTGTAACTAGTAACATACATTCTAATGATCAACTGGCTAGTAATCTCACTAGATCTCATGGGTTCTAGGATTGAGTTTATTTGAAGATCTCATGGGTTCTAGGATTGAGTTTATTTGAAGCAAGCTCGGTGCATGTTATCTATATGGTCCTGCTTGAGCAAGAGTTTTAGAGCATTAAGTATTAAATGCATAAGCCTGTAAGTGTATACACCGGTGCATATTATCTATATGATCCTGCTTGAGCAAGAGTTTTAGAGCATTAAGTATTGAATGCATAAGCCTGTAAGTGTATACACGCATGGCGCGCACACACATATACACTTGCGACCACGCATGTACGCTTGCGACCTCTCATTTGTAAGTAGGAAACGAAATATAATTTATAAAACTTCTACAATTTCTATGGTGCAAAGCATGGACTTATGCATAATCAAAATGGTTTTGACCTATTATTGAGTTTCACAACAAAGTCTATATTCTAACAAATAGGAATTGTCAGCTACAAAGTTCAACAAAAGAACATCAAGATATATGGATTCAACTTTAAAATATATGATTATAAAAAAGACATACCACAACAGGGAAGAGTGGAGATGAGGTCTTGTTATGGCCAGAACTGTACTTGTGTGTGTCTAACATGAGGAATGCGAACACCGAACTAGACAGGCTGACACACAGTTTTCCGAGGAACAAAATTACATCTCCAATCACATTAAGACGCCCAATCTTTAGAATGTTATTCATGATCAAATCTGTTGCAATAGAAGACGCACTAAAGAAACTTTTGCCCGTTATAGCAATCTGCAAGCATCAAAACATACAAAAAGTTAACATCAAGAAAGTCAAAACAATATATTAAGAATATCAGTCAGCGAGCACCAAAATTATGGTTTATGGTAAAAATGTAGATTAACAAAAGTTACCATGATGTAAGCATTTCGGTTTATTGATTTGATTGTCCACTCAATACACCTAAGAAAACATTGAGAAGATTTGTATGCAGCCTTGCCTATCCAGCTGTCATGCACATGACTAGATACTTTTAGTTTCCGACGAAGAGATTCAAGCAGAAACCGGATTGATTCTACAAATGACACAATCAGAGAACCCAAAGCCACAGATCCGAGACTGTAACGCAGAAGCCTCTTCATGGAGGAAAAGACTGAAAGAAACGGAATTTCGTGCTGCATAGGGAAATATAAATTGTATTCAATAACATAGACAATAGATCATTTTTGAAGTATCAATGAAAAGGTTTAATTAGTCGATGGTCTAGTTCAAGTCAACCAAAATAAATACCCCCTCCATACCTTTTAAGGTTATTTACACATACTAAGGAAACTACTAAATTTTGTTACTTTTGATGGAATTATTTGTCTTTTTCTATAAGTACTCTTAACAATTTATTAGCTTATTCCACATATTTTTCTCCATGCAATAAATACTCAAAGTAATTCTTTACAAAACAAATATCAATGTTGTATTGAAACATTGAAAACGAAAAGTATATAAAAACAATTTTTTCTACAAAAGCAACCGTTAAAGGGTCCAAAAAGAGTACATAAATAAGCACTGGTAGTTTACATGCATCATTTGAACATGTTTTCCACAATTATGAAGCTTAAATTTGCTGAGTTGCTGGCATAAGTAGGTCAGCAATCTATCTTTCACAGAATAAGCTATTTTTTATACTTTATTATGCTATATCCTATAGCAATGAGGAACAACTTTTAAGCCAAATAGCAACTTACAGATGTTTCACCATGGACCCAGTAATAGGAGGCAACAGACCCGGCAACCACTGTTGAGGAGCACGCTACAAAAAATTGGGTAGCCCAATAGCACCCAAATAGGTGAAAAAGGATGGAAACTCCAATATGTGGTGTGTAATGAATGCTATATCCACAACAACGATCACAGTTCACCCGTTTTGCCACAAGATCATATGTGCAGCAATTAGAGTTGCAGTCGTTCTGAATAATCTGGCCAGAGCTGAATAAATGGAGAGCAGCTGAGGTCCAAAACATGTAAAACACAGCAAGGATAGCAAACGGGATGAGAGGAAAAATTATGAGTGCTTGAACTTCTCCTATCACTTTTGCAGCTACCTGTGAACAAAGTAAGCATCAGATTAATTAAATTGTTCGGCTCAGGTAATTGAAGAAGCACTATCGTTTTATCCGCATGTTTTGTGAAAAGGTTGTTTAACATTGTTACAACTGACAGTGTAAACTCAACGCAGTACTTGGAGATAGGATCACAAAAATAGAGAAAGTTAGCTTCATAATCATGATATATATCGTAAGCCAGCACTGAAAGTTTTACGGTTTATGAATACAATTGTCAGAAACGAGGAGGATCTAAGTTGAAAAATCCATTCACTTATAGTTAAACAGGACGAATGAATGGTCAAATATGTTTAACCATTGTTAGATTAAATTGTGGCCCACGTAGAAATAAGGAAAATGAGCATGACTTTCATTTCGCCAAACAACTTAAGAAGAGCTTAAAGCATGATGTTTATCATAAAAATTATTGTGTTTAAGATTTTTATGACAAAAGATAAAATAAAGCTAAATTGTTTTCATAGAAACTGTAAATTGTCTTAATTTGCAATCCTAGAGAGAGCCTACTGAACTAAGCTAAAAAAGGTTTATGGACATGTCTTAAGTTGTTTCCATAAACTCTCTCAAAAAGTCTTACAAGTGCCTACTATGTAAATAAACTCAAATAAGTCAATCCAATTTTGCTAGAACAAGCCTATGTGTACCCTCAATTGCTTAGTCCTTAGTAGCAAGTAAAATTATATTTGTATAGGAACACTTGATAAGGTAAAAAAAAATCACATCTAATCACTTTCAGATATGAATTCATAGAAAAAAGTTTATAGTTTCATTATCATATCACAAAGTAACGCTTGCCTTCAGAACAGATGTTGCCATAAGGATGCGTCGTACGATAGCAATTGAAGTCAGAATGGAAATAGCCATGATAACGGTCATAAGTACTGTCACAGCACGTAGATGAGTCAACTCCTGAAAATAAAATCATTTAGTAAGACGTACACATGGAAAAAATTATCAAGTCTTTGAATTGAAGACTTCAAAAAACATGAAACTATTTTCAAAATAGGATGTTACTCACCCTCCCAAATACATTGATGTAAGGGTCATGCTCACCAATGATGGGAGAAATAGCATCATTTCCAATCCATCCAGCTGAAATGTTAGGAAGAAACAGTATTGTTGTTTGACTGATGTTTGTCCAAAATCCAGATAAAGAAACTAAAATATTACTCTATATCCCAAAGCAAGTGTCGTCTTAGGTTTTTCACAGATTAAGAAAATCTATAATTGAATGAAAGAATGCTACAATTTTATAATATTATCCTTATTAATTATTGGTTATTAACTTATTAACCATTGGCATAAATGAATTGAGGAGTAAAATGACTTGAAAGTAATGCGGATAGTATTGATTTGGAGGTAGAATTTTAAAACCACAAGTACTGCACATTCAAAAAGTAAAACGACTCTTGTTTTGGGAATTTTTTTATATAATTGGCTAAATAGTTCAACAGAATAATATGAGAATAGGTTTCAACAAGAATCACCAACAAAGTATAAACTTTTATTTCAAAGCCCAAACATCACAGAAATAGCACAAGAGCAAAACCAATAACTATGCTCAAAATTCAATCTCCAAGAATAAAACTCGAAACCATCTTAGCATGCTCCACATCACACACAAAAAACAATAACTTAGCAAGCAAAAACCTGTAGAGCGCTTAACTTGTGTCTACACCAGGAACCCTTTTTTTCTATTGTAAGTTTCAAAACAAAAAGATGGGTTTTAAGTGTCTAAACATGGTTTCATAACAAAAAGTTAATCCAGACGGAGTATTCATAGTTTTTTTTACATCGGTATAACGATACTTCCATAAGACAGCACACATTTGATTCTAGAAATACTGAAATAGCCTATGCTTATGAGAGATCCTAACCTTTTATGTAGAAGAACATTGTGGCCGATATTATCAGAACATTAAAGAAAACCACTGTTATCCACGGCATTGCAGCCACAAAATGTCGAATCATCATGAGCCAAATCACAGACAGAAAGAGAGGTAAAATCCCTCCACAAACGATCAGCACAGGCCATGCCTTTCCTATGTCAGCCATGTACCTCTGTAAATACAAATCATAACACATTTTAATTCTATAGCACATAATACATACGAATGACACTAAATATGCTTAATCCCTCCCAAAATTTTCTTACTTCAACTATTTAACTCTTTTGACACAAACATGTGACTAATGCATTGTAAACACAACATACAATGTGATATTGAAATATTGAAATATTGTACCTTCCCTGGATAAAATTACAATTATAATACCAATAAAAATAGTAGGAAGAAGTGCTGTCAATGGAAGAAAGCCAAAATCCAGCCATACCAGGCGCTTCATGGCGCCGTCATAGTGTTTATGGATGAAAAACACGCAATATTGGCCTATATTTACCGTTGCGGCGTGTTAAAAAACCGCCACTGATAACTGTCGTGGCCAATAATCGATAGCACTGGTAGAAAGTTGAAAATATTTAACCTTTAAGACAGCTGAGCGAGAATTTATAAACTTGTGAATTGACTTATCAATAACAATGTCTTCATTAATACTAACTCCACCCATCTGCTCCCAATGCTTCAGCGATGTGTTTGATGCCCGGGCAATAAACTGGCAACTCCAGTAAACTAAACAAAATACTCTTTTAGAACCAGAAATTGTAAAGGGGTCAATAACCAAAGAGCACTGCAAGGTATAGTTTACTCACCATTTACACTGGGAAATATAACAGGATAACACGGGCCTTGAAGTTGAAGAGAGGAGTTTCTCATTTCTGGTGTAAGAAACTCAAAATAATCATAGTTCCTATTAATCCAATCCTCCACCGAAAGACGAATATCTCCTTCAGGATAATCACACACCCAGTTCAGGGAATCATCAGAAGGTATAGGGCACTCTAACAAGCATATACTACGAGCATCCACTAGTTTGAATTGGCCATCCTTCAATCCACTCTGATAAACTTGGTTAGGATTTTGCCAATATCTGAGTTCCAATTCGCCAAGGCCGGGATGTGCATGCTTGTCTCCACACACATTGCCTTTGTAATCCAGCCCATAAGTAAGCCTGAGGTAAACCCATATTGTTTGTGAGGCAGTGATCAAGAACTTATACAATTTTAACAACAAAAAGGACAATAAAAATCACAGGCCTCATAATGCCACAAATTCAAGCTCCACAAAAAGAACACCCATTTACTAAAAAAAATGTTTTTTTTTTCTTTTGTAAATTCTCAATTAAATAAACTAACTAATCAAAGAGAAAGTGGCAGATTTGTTAAAAATTGCAATCAAAATCAAAACTTGGGAATTGCAGAAAGTCCTCCACTAACAGAAGAAGCTTTACCTAAGTGGGTTTCCTTGGTTAAAACCGAAACTGGAGTTAACAATCATTGCAATCCAAAAAGCAATAAAGATGAAAAGAGCAATGATATCTCTGCATTTTCTGTTGTGCTTAATGATTCCACCCATTTGAGTAACTCCATCACTTGATGTATAGCTTCCAATTACAGCACCTAAAGGACCCCTCATATTCAATTATGCATACAAAACTTGTAACAAGCTTTGCTTCAATTTAACATTCAAGGTAGAGTGAATGGTGGTAGAAGAGGAAGAGGAAGAGGGTTAGTAGAGAGTGAGGTAGCTAGGTGAGAGCTTGAAAAGCCAGTGTGAAAAAGCAAAGGTGTTTTAGATTTGGCTTAATATGATAAAAATGGAAATTAATTAATAATTTATTTATTAAGACAGAGATTTTCTAAAATGAATGTTTTTCTTTACTTTTTCTTTTTGATAAACAACAACGGATCCGTGTTTTGTGGCTTCTCGGACACACTTAAACTATGAGCTTCCTAATGTTCGCCTAGGCTTAAACTAAAAGTGCAACCAGTGTCTATTCAACTGATATGTTATGTATATTTGTTTTTAAAATATAATATAAATTTTTAAAAAAAAATATTTTATTAAAAAAGTTTATTATTTATTAAAAAAGATATTTTGATTTATATATTAATCATAAATATAATATTTTTTATATATATAAATATTTACTGTATGTAATATTATTTTTGTTTTGACGTGTATATATATAAATATTAGGATCAAAAGAAAATTTGTTCCCATTTATAAAAGAAAATATTAAAATTCATTCATTAATTTAAAAATAAAATTTTTCATTAATACAATATATTAATAAAATTATTACATTAATAATATATAACTCAGTTTTTCATATATTATCTTTAAAAAAATATTATATTTTAAATTAAAATAATTTTAAAATAAAAATATTAGTAACATAAATAATTTAAAAACAACATATTTTACCCGTATTTGAATTCATACATTATTTTAAATATATTTATTTTTATTTTTTTTTATTATACAAAAAATGTAATAACATGTGCGTTCGCATGGATTCTCATCTGAATATATGTGCGTTCGCACGGAGACTGATGTGTTACACACAATTGTTTTTAAAATATAAAAAGAATGTCAAAAACAGAAAAAATAAAATTATTTAACCATATTTTTATTGTTTTTAAAAGAAAAACATATTTTTATTTTTATTTGGAGCATAAATATAGTTTTTTCATACATATACAAATATTTGGATCAACCGTATATTTTATTGTATGTAAATATTAATTTTGTTATGACATTATTTATAAAAATATTTATACAATCATTTAGTTTTATAAATAGCAAGTAATAACATAGTATTTATAAATATTATTTTAATTGTAGAAATAAATATTAGTAACATAAATAAATATATTTTGCCCATGTTTAAATAAACATATTTTGTTCGTGTTTGGATTCATATATTATTTAAAATATAACTACGTTTATTTTACAAAATTTCTTCAATGATTTCGGTTTGATCTCGTCGATAATAAATCATTTAAAAAATATGATTTTAGCATAATATTTTCCCATATATGAATGGACATATACTCCCTTTTAAATGAATAAGTTTGAAAGAAGAATCCAAAAAGTCTAAGTTGTTGAGTAGAAAATCAACAATCTACGAATGAAAATATGATATCTACCAAAGCATACTTATACTCAAATAACAGAATCGTGAACTTTGTAAGTTGTACATGATCACAGAAAATAAACAGTGAGATGGAAGAGAAAGAGAAATAACTCATCAAGCACACACCAAAGAGTGCTCTAGTATCTTACCTCCAGTTAAGTCAATAGTGGATGCATAGTATTTCTTTGCAGTTTGGGTATTTTCGAATGCACCAAGAGTATAAAGTACCTAGCAATACCGCAATACAATTGAAGTCAAGATGATGTTTATAACTCTTCCTAGGTAAACATGTGTACTCTAGAATGCATTGCTTAGTTAAGATCAAGATGATGTTAATCTTAATTCCTAAAGAAGTTACTTACATCAGCATATGCTAAGTGATAGAGTGGAACAGTTGATTGAGCTAATATCACTTCATGATAGCAAAATGTTGCTTGTTTACATCTGGCAGGAAGACACATTCAAAAAACAAAGGAAGATTGATAATTAGCAATATAAACACACAAAAACTTGTAGTATATGAAAGTTATAGAGTCATATAAACTGTGAAAACAACAACAACTTTTAACAAACCTTTCCAGTATTTTTCACCTTCAAATCTCATACATACTTGCTGCAAAATAAGAGCAAAAACTTAGATTCACATAATCAAACTATAGATATAACTTCTCGGATAATCAGAAACCATGAAACACAAACAAAACAAAATCCAAAACGATGTCATGAAGGATGGAGCTTCTCATCAACTCGTTGATATCGTTGATCTTCTCAAAATGTCGAGCCATGAAGGATGGAGGAAGAAAAGTTGAAATGGATGAGCTAAAGACAAAAAAAGGGTTAAGAATGTTGGTCGATGAGAAACAGAGAAGGAAATGGTTGAATAAGTGAACATTGTAACAGCCCGAATTTCATTAAATAATTAATTATAGTGATTAATTGATTTAGTGGGATTTTTATTAATGTTGGAAATTAATTTTTATTAATTGGAAATTAATAGAGAATTGAGAGAGAAATGGGGAGGAAAGAAAATAAGGAAGTATATAAGGAAAGTAGAAGAGAAAAGAAAAGATAGTAAGGTAAAGGAAATAGAAGAGAAATAAGAAGAGAAAGAGAGGAGAAGAAGAGGAAAGTGGAAAATCATCAAGAACCAACATCAAAGCTCTGATTAATTGAGGTAAGGGTGAGAAACATTGCTATTTGATCATTGTATACTATTATGTATGTTGGGTTTGGATTGTGGGGTAGTTTCCATCCTTTTCCATTTAGGGCAAAGTTGGATTTAATCGGTAGAACTCCATTTAATCGGTTAAAATCTGAAATAGATGATGTAGAATAGTCTAGAAATGTTAGACTAAGAGTATTGGAATTGGATTGGTGAGATTGGAGTTTGTGGAGTTGGTTGAGTTGGATAACAGTAAGTGAAAAACAAAATACGCAGACACTCGCTAGCAGCTTGCTAGGCGAGCAGGTCGCGAATGCTCGCTAGGAGCTCGCTCAGCGAACAAGTAGCGAATGGTCCCAGACTTGGACAGAAGGGATTTTGGTGTGTTCGCTGGTAGAGAAAGTGTAGCGAAGAGATAGCGAACGATTCGCTGGGAAGCTCGCTGTAGCGAGCAGGTAGCGAATGAAGTCAGTAACTTCTGTTGAGATTCGCTAGCACGTTCGCTAGGCGAACAAGTAGCAAATACTCACTAGGAGTTCGCTTAGCGAAGGAGTAGTGAGTATGACAGGTTGATGTTTTATTGAGATTTATCCATAGGTTGATTGTGTGGTTCGACTATGGTTTATTGCTTGATTAATCGCATAGTTTATGTACTATTGTGATATGTTGTGGATAGCCTTCGGGCGTGAATCCTAGGTTTTGAGATGTGTATATTGTTTGTATTGATTGGAAATGCATGAGAACATAATAGAGGTTATGTGTGCATTGTCTGATAAATTGTGAATGCCTAATGTTGTATGCAATTGTGTGATAAGTATGCATGAGAACATGGTGAATATGTGTGCATAACTTGTAATTGTATGATTGGTGTTGTGATGTGAATACCTTGATTGTTGTGATATATGTTGTATGTGCAATCATTGTGTAATTCTTGAAGAGATAAATTATTTGAATGCATGAGATTAAGATGTTGGTCTTAAGTGCATTTGTTGTGGTTGATTGTACATGCATCATTTAGTCAAGAGGCAATGTCTGTTAGTTTCGTAGAAACTAGTGGCTTGTCCCAAACCTAGAAGAGTGGGTTTGAAGGCTTAGAGGGCGGGCCTTTGTTGTTATCGGTCTAGAAGAGTGGACCTGGTTTAATGTAAAAACCGAAAAATAATAACGGATTATCGGTCTAGAAGAGTGGACCCGGTTAATGTAAAAACCGAAAAATGATAACGAGAGTCGGTACCGCATTGCATGAGTTGCATTGAGTTGTTGAGTCACATTGATATATGACATATGCATGAAGAGATGCTTATGTGTGAATGATAAGATTGTGGAAATGTGAGTGTATGCATGATGTGGGAATGCTTTGTGAATATTCATGTTGTCTATATATGTGTGGTAAATATATATGACTAAGAGGGCGAATTGTGGTGAGAAATATGGAGTTGAATTATATGATTACCTATATATATATATATATATATATATATATATATATATATATATATATATATATATATATATATATATATATATATATATATATATATATATATATATATATATATATATATATATATATATATATATATATATATATATATATATATATATATATATATATATATATATATATATATATATATATATATATATATATATATATATATATATATATATATATATATATATATATATATATATATATATATATATATATATATATATATATATATATATATATATATATATATATATATATATATATATATATATATATATATATATATATATATATATATATATATATATATATATATATATATATATATATATATATATATATATATATATATATATATATATATATATATATATATATATATATATATATATATATATATATAATCTTATGCTTTGGTTATTATGGTTATATTTCTCACCCTTCTGCTGTTTTATAATGCTCTACGAGGCATTGCAGATTAGGATGCTGGAGTCCTTTTTGTGAAGTTAGCTTCATTCTTTTGAGTCAACTGCTCTGATATGTAACACCGGGTAGTTAGACTAGTATAGTTATTCTTTTGTGGTACATTGCGATGTATCAGCTGATGTGGCTTGTAATTACCGACATGATGTATTAATCTGGATATCTTATGTGTATGTGAATTAATATTTTGGAAATGATTAAATGATTTTATCTTCCGCTTAAATTTTAAGGTTGAAATGTGATTTCTATAACTATGAAAATGTTACATATTTTATGGAGCGAATGTTAGAGTGTTTCATCGGTGAAATTGTGACATTCTTCCTTTATACCTTATTCAAAAATTTTCACTCTGATAA